GCGGGTGGTGGACGGAGTGGTTCGGGGGGTGGCGGCGGCGGGTGGCGGACGGCGTGCCGCTGGCCGGGGCGGACGGGGGCAGGGAGCGGTGGCCCGACTCCAAGGCCGGGGGCGGGCACAGGCCCGGGTAGGCGTCCACGGTGAGCCTGTCCACGTGGGTGTACACGGGGGCCCCGGGGCTGGGGCTGGCGTGACAGTAGTGCTGGACGCACTTGGACTGGACCCTGGGGCTCTGGGAGAGGTGGGTGCGGATCCAGGGGGTCGGCTCCGGGGGGCACACGGGATTGTTCTCCTTCCCCGTCTCCGTGGTGGGCCACTGGATGGTCCAGTCTTGTTTGGAAAGGTTGCCTCCTGAGTTGGAACAAAGTAGCAGAGAGACAACAGATTAAGCCACGCGAAGGTCAAGTGAATCACGCTGTTAGCACATTACAGTATATGCACATTACACTGTATACGTGGTACACCTGTGCTGGTTACAAAGCATGCACAATTCGCTGCATGCATATTTACATAAATTATGCATGATATGATTGCACACGTTTACATAAATTATGCAGAATATGTTGTATGCATATTTACATAAATTCAGCCACACCCGCTCGGTCCCTCCAAGAAGAATGAAATCCCTTCCTTGACCCTCTCACCATGACCCCAGTTCAACAGCCTCACCCTCTGCTGTTCCAGGGTTGGGGAGCCCACAACTCAAATGTCTAGCAAAGCAAAAAGTCTAATTCTTGTCTTTTGAGCATCCAAGGATCCTAGTTTCGGCAGTTTCAAGGTGATTTAAAGAATTTCCAAAGATAAACTTTCAACTACATTGTAATTTTAATACCAACCCCCACGTGAGGTACATGAATTTCTCAGAAGTCAGGTTCACCCTGAGGTCACTCCCTGACCTCTTATTCAGTCACTGCACACTTCTTCTGGATCTACCATTGCTGTGTGCTTGATCGTGCATTCATTCAACAAACACTTTCTGAATGTGCTAGGTGCTGTGCTTGGAAAAGTCACAACAGAGCACACACAGGCCAGAACCAAAGGTTCTCTGGACTTACGTTCTGCTGAAGGTAGACAAGATAGACATGAGAAACAAGAAAGCATACTTGTGAAAGGATTTCAGAAAGTTCTTGGTATGAGAAGGGAAACAAACTGAATGATGTGATAGGAAGAATATTGGAAACGGTGAATGGTTAAACTGTGGTACATACAGAACACTATGCAGCCACAAAAAGGACTGAATTAGTGATGGATTAGTAATAAAGATACTACATTATTGTTGACTACATTCCCCATGCTGTAACTCGACATATCGTGGTGGTCATTCTGTAATGTGTAAAAATGTTGCATCACTATCTGGTGCACTGGGAACTAACATAGTGTTGTAGGTCAATTATACTTCAAAAGACAGACAAACCTACAGAAAAAGAGATCAGATTTGTCATTACCAGCGGCAAGGGGTGGGGACGAGGGGAAGGGGATAAAGGCAGTCAAAAGGGACAAACTTCCAGTACTAAGAAAAATAAATACTAGGGATGTCATATATAACATGATTGATATAATTAACACCGCCATTTGTTATGTATGAAAGTCCTTAAGAGAGTAAATCCTAAGAGTTCTTGCCACCAGGAAAAAAATATTTTTTTTCTTTTTCTTTTCTTTTGTACCTATTTGAGATGATGGCTATTCACTAAACCTACTTAAACAATCATTTCATGATGTATGTAGGTCCAATCATTATGCAGGATACCTTAATGTATGCAGTGCTATATATGAATAAAATTATGTCTCAATAAAACTGGAAGATAGATAGATAAAATTTAACTAGCAAAAAAAAAAACAAATTGATTTCTCCAAGATCACTGGGACTGCTGCTTGGACAAGGAAATTCCAGTTAAGAGGTAACACAGGGCTCCCGTCGAGAGATGATGCTGGCTTCCACTTGGGTGGTAATGGCAGCAAAGATGGAGAAACGTCAACAGGTGTCAGCGGAGGAACACGTGGCGGGAACTTACAGAAGGCGATCGAGTGGGCCCTCCCATCACCAGCCAAGGAAGGAGATTTGGGGCAGAAATATATTCCAACTTGTGGCTGACTAGCAATAACAATAATTACTACTATAAGGACCATAACGAGAGCTAATTTATAGAGCATTTGACACTTGACAAAGTGCTTTCATGAACACTGACTCACTGCCCCCTTTTTAATTAAAACAACTCATTTTGTTATTACATATTCATTATAGAAAAATTAGGAAATTCAGATAAGGAAAAAGGCAGCGTTGCCCTACCACCCAGCCATCATCCCTATTACGAACGCTTGGCTGTGGAGCCTGCCAGATGGTTTGCTGTGCATTTTTTTTTTTTTTACAGAAATGCCGTAAGATCTTATTTAATGATTTGTCATCTGCTTTCTTCATTTGGGACTGTTCCACATCTTACTTAATTTTCATAAATCTGTGTGCAAAAGGCCATTTTGAGCTCCACTTTGTAGATAAGGAAATGGGCATGCAAAGATGTTTCCAAGGTTACAACAGAGATAGGAACTGGCAGCCAGGATTCTAACCCAGGATCTCGGCCAGGGTATCTGAAACAGAGTGGTGCCTACATTTACCAAAGACCATGGACCATCAGTCAGCCAAGTGGGGATAGGAGCTGGAGCAAGGGGCTATTGCTTGCAACAGTCTCCCTTTTCCCTCCTCTCAGACTTTGCCAGAGTATTCTACCAAAATCACCATCACTCTGGTGTCTAGTCTCAAATATTTACACATACACATTAGCCCCATGACTAAGAGAGTCAGCTCTGGAGTCAGATGACTTGGCTCTAGTTCTGGCTCTGGGCTGTGTGACCTTGGGCCCGCAAGCAAACCTCTCTGAGTCCTGGCTTTATCAGCAGGGAAAGGGGGCAATAATAGGACCTGCCCCAGGGGAATATTATGAGGCTCAAATGCAATAACACACGTGATGTGCTGAGCACAGCACCTGGCACACAGAAGCCGCAGCACCAAGGTGACGCGTCACTACCTCCCATTCAAAGACTGTGCGCTTGTGCGGAGAGCCGTCCATGCACCGGATGCTTCATCACCCTGTGGAAAAGGGGCGGAGGGGCAGGTATAGAAGGAAGGATGCCGACAGAGGGAACAGCGGGGTCAGGGGCCGGGAGATGGCAGAACATGGCGAGTTTGGAGAACTGTAGGCAGTTTGGTATGGCTGGAGATACTCTGAGGAAGGAAGAAATCCAAGCCAAGGCTGGGAAGAAGGGCAAAGAAGGATCGTGCAGGGATTTGCTCTCCTAAGTGGAAGGGGATCATGATTGATCTCCTGCAGCTCCTGGAAACCTGAGGCCACCAAGGGCTCAAGGCCGTCAAACCCAGTAATGGGCGAGGCAGAAACTCTGGTCCACCACATCATGCAGCTGTACATTCAAGGCTTGGACCCCAGCCCCACGGTCATGCCCAGGGAGGGGCTGGCACTCCTCCAACCACAAATGATGACAGTGTGGAGGCCAAGTTCCTGCCTGGCTATAGTGTTATATCCACAAGGCCGGGGACCTAAATCCCTGCTCATGCCAAGCAAAGGGCTGGCTCTCCCAGGGAGCCAACGCTGAGAAGTGGGTTGAGGCTGGAGGCCAAGGTTCTTCCCACTACATGGCTGTTATATCCCAGCCTCTGTTCATACCAGGGGAAAGGGTGGTGCTTTCCTGATCCTGGGGCTTAAAAACCACATAGCCCACTATGTTGCCATCAAATCCTGCTGGAGCTTCATGTGCTGGCCCAGAGTGAATGCACCAGCCACTCATCCTGTCCCTTTGTGACTAAAGCTGTCCCAGAGGCCCTGGTGCACAAGCTGTGTGAACATCTGTTCTTGCTCAGTGGGACCTAGTGTTCATGGAGGCACAATCAAATGAGTGTGGTGGCGAGATGTATCTGGCCACTATGGCCAAAGGACTGGACCAGTCAAGAGGAGCTGCAGGACCCCAGCCTGAGGCTGCTGAAAGCATCTAGATGGGAGATGATGAGGACCAGGAGTAGCACTGAGGCAGCCGAGATGGAGACAAGTGGGTTGACTTGGTATAAGGGGAGGAGAAAAAACAGCTACCATGTACTGAGACATTACTATGTCCCTGACGCTGTTGCTCTAAGGCATTTGTGTTAAATTAGATAGCCACACAACAATCCTACTAAGTAGACAAAAATTATTCTCCTTTATAGACCAGGAAACTGAGGCATAGAGATGTTTAAATGACTCACTCAATGCCATACAGCCAGGGCTGGGGTCTGTACCCTTCAGCATGACACTAAGCTGACGTCCCGGTTTCCAGCCTGAGTCCCATGGTGGCTGGTGGCGCCCATCAGAGCAATGGAAAACACAGAAGGAAATGGAGCACATAGAAGAGGGGGCGGCAAGTTCAAGGTCAAGTTCACCAGACAAGTCTGAGGTTCCTACAGGACACCCTGGTGAAGATGGCCAGGATGCAGCAGAATTTCACCTCCTTTTCTGGCTCCCTGGAAATTCTGGGAGCACCCGCTCAAGAATTTATTTTTCTATCCTGACAGAGTTGGTCGGGAGATTCTAAAACCGCCCAAGTCTATCCAACAGCGTCGGGCTCATCTGAGAATTTTGTTTTTTAAGAAAGAAGACATGATATGATTTAATCATGTTCACCTTTTTGTCTCCTCTCCCATCTGACCTTTGAATCTCCAGAGCAGACAGCCCATGGCCCTGAATTATAGGTCAGGGAGGGGAGGTAATGAGCTCATCACCCACTGCCTGACTCCCTCTGAAGGAGGAGACAAACCTCCGCATTTGAAAGACTTGCTTTCTGAACTGAAAAAAAAAAAAACAAGAATTAATTCTAAGTAAACATGAAGCAAGGAAGCAGGAGTTTTTATATGCGTAGAGCACCCTGGACTTTGCAACATGAACTTGCCCATGCCTTTCCTGAGACTCAGTTTCTTCATCTGTAAAATGGGGATAACATTAGAGCTTTCCCCTAGGATCATTCTGAGGATTAAATAAGACCATACAAGTAGAGCATTTAGCACAAACTCTTGACACACAGCTAATGCTGCATCCATGTTAATGAAAATGAGAGTAAACCCACCTATTTTATGTGATGCTGGTGAGGATTAAATGAAATAGGTAAGAAAATAAAGTGCCTTGCCTTTAATGCCTATATCTCTGATCTTGCCAGCTGCCATCCCCTACAGAAAGCATGGTATCAAAAGCCACTGAGTCCTTATAGTGGTTGAGCTGTATGCCCTCCAAAAAGTTGCAGTCCTAACCCCGAGTGCTTGTGAACATGATCTCATCTGCAAATAGGGTCTTTGCAGATATAATCAAGTTAAAATGAAG